GGTCACCGGGCACTCGGCTGCGTCACGGCAGGTAAGCAGGGCCGGCATTTGGGTTCGGGCATTGATTAGTGAATCCGGCCGCGTCAGCTCCTAAGCTCAATAGTCCCGTAAGTATAGTACACTTTTATCGCGGGAGGTGGCGGTGATCTGCCCCCGCTGGATGGCGAGATCCGGCTCCGTCCGGTTGCAGAGTTTTCCCAACCAGATATCTCCCACCAGCGGGGTAACGCCCCAGCCGAGACAAGCTATAAGCTCCCGGCATGTGTGGTAGTGTAGTGCACGTTAGGATAAGTGTGTGTGTAAATGGGTGAGTATAGATGAAGGAAGAGGAAGGAAATATCGCGCACGATCCGTTACCCACTTGTTAGGGTACTGCTTCAGCATTCAGTTAGTGCTGATCAGAAAAATGAAGGAAAACTAGCAATCAGAACAGTAGGCCGCTCCAGACGGCTGCCTATCTGCCCAGACTTCTAGCAATCTTGTATCGAAAATCCTACAGTCGGGACTCGACCCCTAGGACCTCCACGTCAGAGGCACTGCAGTGACATGAACTGATGCCCTGAGCCACCTACGCCAGTCCGGTGTTTGGGTCTGAATTGTTATTGCCGTGTTCTTGTTGCTGCTGACGTCATCGTCGTCGTTCCTGACTAAAGACTTCGAAAACTTCTTAATTGGTCACCATCAAGCTACTCTGTATTGTAATTTATTCTAATTTGACACCGTGCTTGCTCGAAGCTGTAACTACTGTTTCTACTTCCACATTCACGACGGATATTAGACTGTTGAAACATAAGGAGCGTTTTCGATGAACTGTTTTCGATGATCTTTTGTTTTAGAAATGTCTACTGCGACACCACCGGTTACTCGTTTCATTTAATAATTTCAATTTCCATTTTTTTCGAAGAAACAGTAAACAAACCTATTTGGGTCAATCGAATTACCAAGAGAAACAATAACCAAACTAGATTTATTGCAGGGGCGGATCCACAGACACATTTTATGAGGGGAAATTCATATTGTTTTGGTCGAATGCGTCATTAGAGATTTTGTAAATTGTCGCAAGCTACACTCAGGTCATGCTGCACTACCATTTTATCATTTTTAATGATAATCCGAAAATAATTTTACATAAAAGTTTAGTGACAAGTTAAAATTAATAGTTACTGAAAAATTTTAG